TGGAAATCTTGACTGTCTGTCATCTGCTGTGAAGAGCTGGCAGGGTGGCAGGAAGGTTCAGCTGGAGCTGGCTTGGCCATCTGCACTAGATTGAGTTTGCCAGGAAAGCACATCTAACAGTCCACTGAGAGCTGTGTTCAGGCAAACATGCACACCAACAAGTACAGAAACTATCTGTGACTCTAACAGAAATGGATAGATGTTGGATGTGGCAGATTTTCTCTGCTGCCCTGTGCCTGTCTGTCCATCTGAAGGGCTTTTTCCTTTTTCCATTGTGCTCCACTCACATGTGTTTTGGCAGCTTATAAATCTAGTTCAGTGTTATTAAAGTCACTTCTTTTCTTTTTGTAGGGAGTGGCAGAAGAACATATATGATTCTAATCTGCTTTGCTGTCAAAGGGGAACAAAGTATGTTGAAAGTGGTGCAAATAGGAGATTTTGTTGCTATCAGATTTTTCTCGCTGAAGGTGATTTATACAGGAACTTAATTAGCACACTGGATCATAAATATAATCATAAAGCTGCTTTCAGATTTTGTGGAAAACACTTTTGCCCTTTAGCACATCTCTGTCTTGTTCTAGCTGTGACATGCTGCATTTAATAAAGTCTCGCTGATTCAGATAACCAATGCTTCAGCACAAACTTCTTTACTAATTAAGAGCTGAAGAGGCAAGGGGTGAAGGCAGCCAAGGGGCTCTATAAAATAAGGTAAATTGATTTAGGTTGATGAACAATGAAGAACCAGTGAATTAATATTTGGGGTTTCTTTACTGAAATGCAATATTAGGACTGTCCGCTGGCTTARTTACTGACTCTTGATCTGTTCTTAACTTTTGGTGTTACCCAGAACACATACTACAGGCTTGACATAAACTGTAGATGGAGCAAAGCTGGATCAATTTTTCAAGATCAACCGTGTCTGAGTGTGATGTGCCCTTCTCTGGAGAGGAGTCAAACAGGGTGGAGACAGTGTGCACATGGGAGGAGAGACTGAGAGTACATAAGAAGGAATGAGTTCAATTTGCAGATCCATGGTTTCTCCAAAGGAGATATGGCCATACATTCACCTGCAAGGAACATATGGRGCAAACAATCTGGGACACAGAGATGAACYTTCTTCTCAGCTTTCAGACCATTTCAGAGCAAGCTCTAGATCAGAAACAACCTTTGACTTGGTGTTGTCCAATACTGAGGTCTGGCAAATGGCATTCCTTCGTAAAAATGCCATTCTTTCCTTTCCTCATCTTCTGCAACTGAGGCAGGAGTAGGTAAAATCAGACAATTTATATAACTCTCCTACYACTTGGGAATTTTAACAGTTCAAAAATTAGTCTAAATCCAAACCATTCCAGATCTTTGCTTTAAGAGCAACAAAATTGACATGAGGAACTACTGAAAAGCAAGACACAAACACTCCTTATTTTATTACATGTCCRGTAGTTTTATGGCAACAAAGTCATTAGCCAGCAGATTTTTTACAATAGTAAAACCTGAGCTTATCAGTGGTTATAAATACCATCATCTAATATAACTAATGCAATCTCCTGAGGACGTGGAAAACTCCAATGCTACAACCAGTAAGTCTCATTACTGAAGCCTGCAGTGCCACCAGTGACTTTCTGGAAGGAGAATGTGATTTCAAAGCAGAGCTACATTGTTTTCAGCACCATCCAGAATCCCTCTCAGCCCCAGTACAGGCCAGTGGTCCTCACCTTGAAACAGGTGTCACGTAGTTGCCTGGGAAGACACCRGACATCCCACTCCTCAGAGATGTGCCCTTGAACCAGCCGTCCTGGCACTTCTCGATGACCCGGTACATCTCCCCTTTGCGGAGCTCCAGCTCATCRTTCTTCTGAGGCTTGTAGGCATACAGGGCTAGGTAGCTGTGGGGAGAGGTCACACAGAGAAAGCACACAGATGACATCAACCACCACTTGTCCTGCTCCAGCTCCATCCCCACAGAGCAGAAWGCAAGCAGAAGCACTGTTCAGAAGGTGCAATTAAAAAGGGATGTGATTACAGGCTGCTTCACAAACAAGRAAAGGCAGAAGCTGGTTTCTAAGACAATAAGGGAATAACTAATCAGAGTAAAAGGTAATTTAGAAGTTGATGAGATGTTCTTCTCACTCAGGGCACAACCAAAGCAAAACASTGCCACAAAGCAGCAGCCAAGTTAWGGACTTAGCAATTACAGAGACAGCCAGAGTAACAAGGACTCAAGTAAGAGGCAAATCCTAGTATCTGGAAGAAGTATACATTCATAAGCTTCAGGGTAGGATACACCTCTGTTGTGGTGTTTAAGAAGAAATTTTTCTTAYGGGTAGGCTATTTCAAAAGCTTTTCTTGCCATTTTCTTGATGCTAYATATGCTGGCCAAGTATAAAAACAACACACCAAACTGTTCTGATCCAGTATGGTAATTCTTGTGCTATATTGATAAAAAGTGAGAAAGGGCCACATTCTGCAAGGGTTTTTTTTCTTAAGTAAATGAAGTGGTAGAATTTGGTTTTGGATGTCTTGTATGCAAGTATTCTAATAAATCTTTAATATAGGATCCAATATGTAGAACTTTTTATTTATTTAATGGTAGCTTTTATTTATTCCCTTTGTTTGGAATCTTTATATTTATCTCTCTTTCGTTCTTCTGTTATTACTTCAGGGATGTGTCTAATGTTGTGAAATGACTACAGCTTAAAATCCCTACAGATACTCTCTCTATTTAGAGAGATCCTTGTTGAAAATTAAGAATGATTGCTTGCACTTTGGGAAATAATGGAAAGCTGGGATAGAATAGCAAGAGCACACACACAGCACAAAACTTTCTTTGTAAATACCACATTTTTTTGTACTGTAGCTTTTCTACAGATGCAAAAAGGGATTTCTGGTAATTCTTGATTAAGGTTGTGCCATGATTTTTTAAAAAATTTATTTGTGATTTACAGGCAGTGAAGTTAGATTAAGAGAAATGGGAAAACAGAGAAAGTGCATTTACACTACAAAGTGCAGCAGAATGCTCTTAGGCYCAGGGGTGGGTGAGAAGAGGCTCGCTGCCCACCTTATAGCAGTGAACCAGACAAAAAATGAAAACTGTAACAGTTGTGATTGTAGATTTTCAGCCAATAAAAATGATACATGACTTTTTACTTCTGCTCTCTAGGAAATATAATTGAGGAATAAATCCTGTTATTTTTCTTGATTCTACTCCTTTATTGTACAGTAAATTTCCTTATTTTTGTTCTGAAGGTAGTAAATAAACAGCAGTAATGAGCAGAATATGAAATRTTTGGTAACAGCTCCTTGGGGAATGCTTAGGCTGATGTGCCTGGCTCTGTTTACCACGTGCATGGGGTACAAAGACCTAATCAGAAACTGTATTTCATTAGTCAACAGATGGGAAAAACCACTCCGCACATCCTTTGTTTAGCCYGTATAATCAAGTGGTCTTGAGCAGGTATGTAGGTGTTCACCTGATGGAAAACATGAGTCTACATATGATCTGAAGAACATTAAAATGCACCATTCTGGCAAGAAATAAGGTTGCATGCTTCAGTGCTAATCCTTTAACACTGTGCTCTGCAAGGGTATAACAAAAAGTGCCAGACTGCACTCACTCGAGGGAGCAAAAAGTGTGGCTTTGACTGTCCCTTTTGAAATTGCTGCTTATTGAGATTCAGAAGCTATGGGTAAAGCAGGGGGTCAGGGATAGAGCATTTTAGATAGATTCACTTATTCTTTTTCCCTGAGGGGCTACATGTAATAATGTGATTTACAGGTAGAGATGCTGGAWGAAGGTGCAAGGAAAATTACCCTAAGTGGATCATAGGCTGTTGTGCCTTGCAGCTATCTCCAGCTCAGCCTACCCGTAAGAAACAGTTTCCTTCTGTTCTCTCTTACTAGCTTCACCCAGCAAATCCTCCCAAATAAGCCACCAGTAAGTCTGAATATTGAATATCACAATGAGCCCAAACATCCTCCAGACAGAGTATCAAAATCCTTGCAGAGAGTAAAAGAAGATGTACAACWGCCCAGCAAGGACACCACACCAAAACAGACCAATCTCTGTATGGCTGAAGTGATGACAACCATGTAGGGTGACCCTGGGACAACAGAAGTGATCAGCACTTTCTTCGTGGACCAGATCCCACCACATGTGTGGGGCAGTGAGGATGCACATCCCTGGGGGTCTTCTCTTTAGTTGCAAAGAGGCATGGGGTTCTCCAAACACAGCCCTGGCTCCACAGCCCTGCATAAGCTCAATTCCTGTCTGAGAGGGGGCTGCAGAGAGCTGGGGGGATGCCTGTCCTCATCCATGGCTGAAAACAATTTGATTGCAGACAGCTTCCCTCTCCAGAAATTGTTTCTGGCTTTTTCTCTGGCAGGAAATCAGGTCTAGTGGTCCCATTTGCTGAGAATAATTTTGCCTGAAGCCAAAGTCTTTGGATTTGGACACATTTCATCTTTCTCTAGATTTTAGGTGTGAAACTTCACCAGCTAACTCTGTACAGCCTAGAAGAAAGTGTTAAAACAACAATCTGAAATCTTGCAAAATGTAGTATCAAATTATGCTGGGCTATGTGAAACAGTGAGGCTGAGGGTTAGGGAGTGGAACCTCAAAGAACACAAAATGTTTATTAGAAGTTCCCTAAAAAAAAGGTCTAAGTGACAAGGTAGCTAATGTTCTTGGCCTTGGGTAGCTGCCTGTGACTCTGCTTATAACGCAGAAGCCCCAGGGCTCTGTCTAGAGTTGCACCTCCCCWCTACTGCTACAGCTTTCAAATAATGCATCCTCTTTGACTGGAACTTGGCTCGCAAATGCAAAATGACAGACTGGATTACAAGGCTGCTTCACAAGGGAGATGACAGGAGAAGCACGCGAGGGAAAAGCGGAGGCTTGCTGAGGCATGGAGTCAGAGGCATTGCTAAAGAACTGGAAAACGTCCTGATTCAGCAGCTAGGTACTGCAAATATTGCCAGTTAATGCTTTCTAGTCAGGGCAAAGCTTGAAATAAACAGGTGCCCCACTATGTGCCACAAAGGCTGCAGAGAGTGATCACAGGATGATGATGAGACCTCTCTGGGGCACACAATGATGTGTGGYACCCCTCAGGTATAAAAGATCTCAAATACGTAGCCAAGAAGAAATTTGTTTTGTTCTGTTCCAGCCCCTCTGTTATTCTTAAAGAAGATCTTCTCTGTTATTTTTAGTATTTTATTTGTGAATTCAGACCTTGTTTTAGCCATATCATAAACCCCAAAAATATGGATGTGCATATGTGTGTGTGTGTAGTCGTCCTGCTTTTACAGGGTATGTATTCAGAGGAAAAAGTTCAGCAGTTCAACTAGACAGGTACCAGATAAACCAACCAAGCTAGAAGAGACTTGCTATGGTGAAGTCTTCTCTTTCTGTTCTGTAAACCTTCTGTTATTCTACGCACTATTCAATAAGGCCATATGCCCAAGATGTGAAGTTCATTCATTGCCTTCATTCATTCATTGTGTATGGCACCAAAAAATGCAGCTGAGTAATTTTTTCTGGTTAATGATGAATATATCAGGTGTTTGATTGTGTGGGACTACGCATTTAAAAGAGCTTTGAATGAAGGAAGATTAGCTCAGAGGTGTTCAGTTTGCTTCACAGTGATCCATACAGCTAAAATAAATAAAGTTCAAAAGGGCTCACACAAAGGGGGAAATCTTGCCCTTCTCTATTAATTTTTCCATTTCAGCGGGGGCTGCCTCATGTTTGAAATTGCAATCTCTCTCTTCTCAGAATGCATCTGAGCTGAGACTTGGACATTCAAGCACACGCAAGCACATACAMACACAATTGGAAACAAAGAGTACACAGTGACTGAGATGAGCTGCTTACATATTGAGGGGGAGCTGGACCTTCGGTGGTGTTCCCTGATCTCCAATTATTGCACTTGTCCTGGGACCAGCCACTGTGGCTGTTCCAATCAAAGAGGAATCCTGGAAATACACAAAGAAGAACACACAAGGATTTAAGATGAAGCCCATCATTTCCTAAATTGCTATGRGGTGAAGGCAAAGAGGAAAAACCACATATTTTATAAATTCGTAGATTTTCTAACTTCATGATATTGCATTTAAAAAGACATGTTGTAGCCTTACACATTCCAAAAATATATTTCTGACACAAAGGATTAGCAGAATTTCCATGTACTTGTCAGAGAAATTGTAGTTGTATGTTGTATGCACATCTTAAAAATTTTAGAATGTAAAACTATTTGACTGCTTTGTAAAGTCAGCTCAGCATGTGCATCTCTGCAGTAGTACCTTCTCWGATAAAAGTAACCTTTCCCCCTCAAAAACTTGTTTTTAAATTGGTATTCTTTTGCTTAGTGGTTATGGATCTCTGGAGAAGAAGATTCAATTTCCAAAAAGCAGTCTCATTTCTATATACTCTTTTTATCATTAGGAATATTCTTCTCCTTCAAAAAAAGGTAACTACTCAACCCAAAACTTTCTCTGAATGGAGAAAGTAGTTCACTCCACTTTTACCCCAGAAAATAAATCTCTGCTCTCATATAGACAGCTGGATAGATCTTCTCCAGCTATTAATGTGAAAGGCAATTCTAAATGAAATCATTCATTTCTCAAAGACCAGTGCTCAGCCAAATTATGTAGGGCAAACTCTTTTTGAGTTGTCTCACCAAAGTCCTCATTCATCTATGTCAGAAATGAATCCTGACTGGAAACTTCTCCTGAACTAATGCCAAGGCCTGTAGCAACAGATCTTCACTGCAGACAGGGCAGAGCCGGGCTGATGGGATTTGTAGTGTTTTACTTGAGCAAAAAGCTTTTTTAATAAGTCCAACCATATGCTGTATGCATGTCCACATGCAGAGTGGCTCTATAAAGTAGGAACCCAGTTTACACACAAATTGCAGGTTCAGGCAGAGTGTGTTACACACAGCAGAGATTCGGAGCATTTCACAGGCCTCCACTCAGCTTTTCTGTTTCAAAATTCTATCTAACAAACAGTAAATATTGGTTTTTGGAACACAAACATAGGGACACTTTTTGCACTTAAAAATGACACTGAATTAAACTAAGACATGGAGTTAAACCAAGACACACATTGCTACTTAATTACTGAGTTCAAGGTTACCTCATTCCAAAGAAGCCACATAATTATTAGTGTTCTGTCTTGACAGTGCACTGCTGAGTGATATTGCTTTGCTGTGTACACAGTATCATTAGAAAATCGTGCAGCAAAACRTGAAGACACTGCACGGTGATTCCATGGCTTTTGGCAAAAAGCAGCAAGATGTCTCATCTCTCACCAACATCCACACTCAATCATGAAGTTGTATTGACAAGTACATCTTCTTTTTCTCATTATTTCCTCTAAATTTCTGGCTGCTTGCTCAAACAAAGAARGATCCTTGGTCCTATGTGTAAAAAGAAGCATTCTTTCCAGCTCTGTGACTAGGGCTTTATTAATACTGCCTGTCACTTCAGTGAGCTAGTATCAACTTACAGAAAAAAACACACCAACCACGTAAAAAATTTAGKGGTAGCTGGAGAATGATCCCTCATTTTTTATGATGAGCTGGTTAATGGGGTTAGGGATTGCAGATGATGTTGGGCTGAGACACCTGGCAGCTGCTTCATCCAAGAGGTAAGTGAGAAATAAACTGACTCAAACCTCTTCATGTTGTGCTACCACTGCATGCCTGCTCTGAGCTAGAGAAACTGTCTCTAAGAAAACAGAAAATGCATCAGTCCCCACCCTTCCTTGCTAGGAAATAAATTTGATTTTACCTCATGAAAGTAACAGACCTGAATGAACAGCCTCAGGGTGCAACTGTAAAGGCAGAGAAGATCACAGCAGGAAAGGATAGAATAGGACAGAATGGAATAGAGCAGAATAGAATATTTATGTTGGAAGTGACCTGTAGCAAGTATCTAGTCTAACTGCCTAATCACTTCAAAGGTGATCAAAAGTTAAAACATATTATTATTAAGGGCATTGTCTAAATGCCTCTTAAACACTGWCAGGTTTGGGGCATAAACCACCTTTCTAGGAAGCCTGTTCCAGGGTTTGACCACCTTTTCAGTAAAGAAATGCTTCCTAATGTCTGAATGTCCTGAAATGGGGTAGCTTTGAACCATTCCCATGTGTCCTGTCAGTGGATACCAGTGAGAAGAGCTCAGCACCTCCCTCTCCACTTCCCCTCCTCAGGAAGCTGTGGAGAGTTGYCCCTCATCCTGCTTTTCTCCAAGCTAGGCAAACCCAGAGTCTTTAGCTGTTCCTCACAGGACATTGCTTCCAGCCCTGTCCTTTTCTGGATTAATTCAAGGACCTTCACATCCTCCTTACATGGTGGGGCCCAGAACTGCACACAGTGCTCCAGGTGAGGCCACACTGAACACAGGGGGATAATATTGAGTGACTGGTGATGCTCTGTTTGATGCACCCCAGGACAGCGTTTGCCCTCTGGGCTGCCAGGGCCCTCTGCTGGCTCCCACTGAGCCTGCTGTCCTCCAGCACCCCCAGATCCCTTTCTGCAGGGCTGCTCTTCAGTCACTGCTCTTCCAGTTTATTCTTGTGCCCAATAGTATTCTCCTATAAACCTCAAGAATGTCCAAGACTCATCACAGAAGTGTGATATTTCCTGTTGATGCCCAGAAAGTTGAAATCTCCCATAAGAACAAGGGCTGCTGAACCAGAGAGTTCTTCTAATTGCCTATAGAGTAACTCACTGATGCTTACATGCGAGCTGGGTAACCAGTGGTAAATACCCTCTATAATATCTCCTTTGTTTTCCATCCCCCTAATCTTCATTCAGAGGCTCTTCACCACATCATCACTAACTAAAAGGGCTGTGCAATCAAATCTCTCCCTTACTTACAGTGCCACACCTCCCCCTCACCTGCCCTGCCTACTCCTCCTGAAGCCCATAGCCCTCGGTGCCAGCTCTCCAATCACGGGACTCATTCCACTAGTAACAAGGATATCGAGCTCTGGGAGATGACCAATGTGAGCTCTTTTTTGTAAGACACACGCTACCCCTTTCTTAGCTCCTATGATCCTCCCTCTGCACACTGCAGCAGAGTCAGTTTGCAGAGGTGCAGCTACCTCAGCCTGGGGTGGCCACTGCAGGCACCCTGGGCTAAGCCTGACTGACTTTGCAGAGAGATGAGCTCAAGCCCAGAGAGCAGAGCAGCTCTCAAAGCATCATCTATTTGCCTGTTTGCACTGATAATGGCACCTTTTGTGTCTTCTGTGTTACCGAAAGCATGATCTCAAGTGCTTTCTATTATTGTATAGTATATTTGTACTACCATATAGTCCAAGGGATTAAGAAATCATGTAACTGCCCTTCTGTGTTGCAAGATGACAATGTTGCTGTCTTCCCTTGAAAAATTCCAAAGGTGKCTCCATAGTTCTGTGTATATCTATCTACCTGACGTTCCGTTTCTTGTCTACATCTGGTTACTCCGATATTACTGCATCTGGTGCCAGCCTGGCAACTATAAACCATTCATTTTTGCCCCTGCACACAGCCTGGTATCCTATACATCCAACCTCTARATCAGTGCTTGCTTCCTGATTGTGCTCCTGTTTTTCTTTAGCTGCTCTCCCCATCGGCTTTGACACGACTGTACTTTCCAGTCTGTCTATGACCCTGCTTTTCATCATCGGGTTTTACTCCACAGGACCTGCTGGCCTTCCACACATTGAATTCAGCTTCTCTGTTCACATCTTGGCACTTACTGTCACACAGGTATTCTGCTCTGCAGCTTCATGTRTCTCTGTGCTCCTTGCTGAATTCGCTTGTTGGCTGCCTGATTGCTACTGTGCACCTGAATGTTCAGCTTTGCATTTWAACTACAGTTCCTGACATGGTTGAGGTGAAGGCTTTTTAAGCAGCCTCTTTCTGCTTAAGGTACTGTTGTCTCTTGTATGTATCACTAATTAGCTCATATTTTAAAATACAATATATCTAGATTATTTTGCAAGATAGTATTTGCAATAAGATTTTGAAGAGAYTGATTTTTGTGAAAGAATAATCTCCTATTTCTTTATCCTTTTGATTACCTRTGTTGGAAGTTTACTTTTCTACTCTTCATTCAAAAAATTTTATCTCTCCAGCTACCAGTAATACCAATAATCCTCCTGGAGAACACAGCAGGCCTTTCTCCATCACAGCTGGTAGCAGGACTTAGTTCTCTTTCCTTCTTTATTTAGCCCTGGAGCCAGATTGTACTTTTGCTATTGTGATCTAAGGAACAAGGTACTAAACAYGTCCTCCTTTCCTCTTCATCTGCTTAGGGGAATGGGGATCCAAGACAATGCTCTTATTTTTTTGTTCTCTGCTTTGATACCTTTTGGGGAGTCTATGTGCCACRTCCTTGCTTTCTGATGGCACATCCCTATGTGATCCATCTTCCTGTGGCACCAGACACACAAATAGAGCCATGCACAGACATTASAGAGGGAGAGCTCAAACACTGCAGYGTTTGTGTCTTAATCCTTCTTCCATCTCTGCTGCTCAGCACTGCTAAAGCCTTACAGGTAGGAGATGTCTCTGACAGTAAGGATTTTAAGAGGCACGTAGGCACTTACTGATAAAAACAGACACCGTGCAGAGTTTTCTCAGGGAGGCATTAAGTACTTCACTGCCTGAATCCCACAGATTTTATTGCAATTTAGGTAATAGGAGTCACTTCTGAAAATACCATTTGGTGCTCCTCTCTATCCTTATGAGCCTYTAATGCCTTTAAACATTTGGCCATTGAATTTCCAGACGTGACCTGCTGGGTAATCACACGTAGCACACCTCCTGATTAGGAGGCCATTTATTCTAATGGTGGCATGCAGTTTTCTGAACTAGACACTGCCAACTCTGATCGCATTTACTTAGGCCACTGAACAGCCAAGTCTGATTTCGTCATGCTCCCACTTCAATTTGGCATCCTCCAAGCACCACTTACCACTG